CGGCCAAAGCACCTGGCAGGGGTGGCCGGGGCGGCGTGGGTTGGCGTATGTGGAGGCGGGGGCGGCCGGTCGAAGGACGACAAGGCTGAAGAGTATAGGTTGACGACGTGAGCGGTGTGGGTGGTGACCGTGGGCGGTTGAGTGGCGGCGGGGGGTCGGTCGTGTGCCCGGTGGAGTCGAGGGTGGTGCCGCGAACTTCCGGCATGGCATGAAATTAGCTTTCAGCGCGGTCAACTCCAAAGCTGGGTTTACAACGGTATATTTTTCAATTTTTTTTCCTCGGACACAGAAATCAGTGAACGGAAAGAGCTGGATATAAAAATTAAGCATGCGTATTTTTTATATACGACGACCTAACCACAGCAAACACCTACACGACCGCTCCATGGCCGTGAGTGATGTTCAACCACTCAGCTCAGCGCAACTCCTAATCTCTGTCCACGCTCCCATCGCCGGCCGCGGACACGCACCGCGATCCTTTCGACCCCACTGCTCGGTCTTCATTCCTCTAGTACATCGGGCTCAGCCACAATCCTACCACGTCACACCACCCGCGCTCGCTCTGCTACTCGACTTGTCCGAGCAGCTCCGCAGGCAGAGGCAGTGCAGCGCCATCACCTGCATGTCTCAGCCTGCGTTCTGAGCCGATCCTGGGCGAGGCTCGGGCACGCAGCGGGACCGTTTTAGACTCATTCGCGCATGCGCACAGCCGGCTCTACGACGCACAGCGTAGCGTCGCGGGTGCGCGGCGTGGGGTGCGCAGTGGTTGTCGACGGGCTGGAGAGAGGATCAGTCGCGGGTAGTGCGCTCCGCCACCATGGTATAGTCTATAAGGGCGCTGCGCTGGGCTCGTCACCAGCATTGCGCTAGTTCGTGCACGCGGTCGCGGTGACGTACCAGACGCACCAGTCGTCGCGCTGAACAAACCGTCGTCTGAGCAGCTCGCAATCCCGGACGCGCAGGCTGCAGCCCGCACTCCAAGGAGCGCCAAGGGTTTGCTATAACGTGATGCCTCGGTGGCTGTAATCAGAGTATAAAGACCACGCAGTCGCGTGAGCTAGTAACACTACAAGTGGTCTCATCATGTGGGACGTTGCTGGATGATCTAACTAATTACTACACGGCGCTACAGGAGTGGTCTGGATGTGGTCTGGTTGCTGTTTGGTATGTCGCGCAGGTTGGCGCAAGTGGGACCCCTGGATGTGCGAGAGTATGTTTTAGAAATGAGTTTGTCTAATTTGGTTGTGACATCGATCCTCTTATTAATTGCCCAGAGGTCTGCGCCAAATTTTTGCCCCGGGCGGCGCCTTCCCCTCCCCGTACAGTCGTGAGTGCGTGTAACGTGTGCGAGGTCCCGCGCTAATGGGGTGCTGTTTTCGCCCTTTCGAGAAGATCCCAATGACCGCCCAGGTTGTGAGCGGAAGCGGAACAGGTAGTTGCGATTTCGAATTTCAATTTGAATAGCTCCAGCACCGTTCATTATTCCATATTGATGTTTGTTATGACGCGGTTCGTGACCGAATCGAGGTTTCCCTTAGGACGTTTCTTCGCTTTACTCCGGTATCCATGAGATGAGTTCCATTTTAAAACCTCGCAGTAAGGAATGCCGGCGTTATTTATTCAGCGATTCGACACTATACCAATGTGATAACCCCGAAAATTTAAAAGATTATGCCACGAGGAAGATTTATCTTGAGTGCGTAGAAAAAGAAGAAAGAGGAATATATATGAAGAAAAGATGAATATGAGGAAAGGTGGACGAACACGAGAAACTAGAGAAATGAGGAAAGCACGGACAAGAGAGAAGCAGAACGAAGAAACAGAGATAAGAGAAGAGAAATATAGAGAACGAGAGAAGAGACGAGAGAAAGAGATACACGAAGAAAGCCGCCAGTAAGAGAGATAGATGTAAAGCGAAGGAGTAAAGAGCATAGAATAGACGGAAATATGTATATTATGAGATAATTAAGGAAACGAGACAATGAGAGAGAGAATAAGAAGTAAAGAGAAAGAGACCTAGTCACGAACAGATGTAATGGGGAAGAAGCGCAGTAGAAGAAAAGGCATCGTGAGAAAAGAGAGTTAAGTTAGAAGAGTAATCATGTATTACAGGAGAAGGAGCAGAAGGTAAACAAGATGGCTACTTAAAGAAATGAGACCCCGGAATAGTATGAGGATTAGATGGACAAGACGAGAAGGATAACAGAACGGCAGAACACAGTACGAAATGAAGCAAAAGTAGAAGAAGAAAGACGTAAGATGGAAGAGACACTCGCCAATGCAGATTGATAAATAAGAAATGCAAGTATAATAAATAGTAGAAGGAGAAAGAGAAAGAGAAGAGCGACACCAATACGCCGAATATTATGAACCGGACCGATAATTGAGAAGACAGTATACATGTAGCACATTATCAGCAGCACACACGCCAGAATTCTAGAAGAATTATATAGAGGTAAATTATTTGTATTTAATATGTATGCATATAGGTGAACCTTAATTGCAGGAAGAGGAATATATGGAGTTATAAAGAGAACCAGGAGAAACACGTCATC